GATGTTTTCTGTATTTATAGAATATAGATAGATATAGTAATAGTATCAAGAAGTAGATAATAGGGAAGGGTTGTGACTTCAAGTTCAATAAACATGGGAAATTCGTCATTTATAGCCTTAGAATACCACGATATTATAGTGCATAACTCAATCAACTCAGCTCAAATCGTACACAGTACATTCGCTAGCATATGCGAAATCTTTTCCTATATTACCCCGCAATCCGGAGGGAGATTACAGACTAAACACGTACGACACGTTCTCCATGTCTGTGGGGGGCGCAAACCGAATCCATAACACGCCTAACTTTGAACAATTAGGCAGCTCTAACGACTCTTGCGCACTCTTGTGCCTCGCGATGGCGGGTGTGGCGTGGCTGGGAGATTGGGTTGCTGCGATTGCGTCGTGGCGTGCGGGTGGGGGCCAATACAGCGAAATAGGTCAAAGAATTAGCTCGCGGGTGTTGCGTCGATGTCCAATCGCCAGCGGCATACACCTGCATCGCCCGAGGGTGCAAAGATCGTTGAGTAGCGTCGTACGTTTTAGTTGATCTTCCCGAAGTGCGGGTAAGTATACGAGAAACGATTTATGCACGGTTGTAGGCGAGGTATGTGTTATGATGTGAAGCTGCAGTTGGTTGAGTTACGCTAAGTAATCGTAGGTATGCTAAAGGCTAGTAAATGAACCAATTTCTTTGTTTATTGAAGTCACACTCCTTCCCTATTATCTTCTTCTGATAGTCTTAAACTAACTCACGCATGTATGCTTGTTATATATATATAAGCTACCATGCCACGAACAGCAATTGTTGCGGTTGCTGTCCTTATTTGCTATGGTACCTAAAAAAGTGCACTATAGTATTTAGTAGCCAGATATAACACAGTGAATGTCCTACCTGGTTTCTCCGATATACCCTTTCCATAATTACCAGTTGTTAGTTTGTCATGTTCCAATTAATCAAGGCCATTGGCATTAACCATTACGACTTTTACGTACTCATTTACCCTTTCGGGTTAATCAAGTCGATATGTCGGAAGGTTTACTCGGTTGTCACACCTGCAAAAAAACACTTAGTATATTGCCCAACCTGGCTCTGTGCAACGAATGGTCTGTAGTCAACTCGACTCGACAGCGTGGGTTGAGTTTACCCGCCTGGAGGAGGGACAGCTCGACTCGTAGGTCGAGATGAACCTCCTGGAGACGACAGCTCGTCTCGACCGGCTAATCGTGAGATGTTTCACACGCCCCAAGTTCGAAATGTTTTGGGTCGTGTTGTAGTCATATTGTTGATGACGCACGGGATATAATATTATATATTATATATACAGTGTTTCCCTGCATTTGACACGAGCGAGGGGCTATCTCCGTTGCTAGATTTGCGCAACCACCAAAAAAGATTTTACGCCGCCTCGCTGAGCTTTTTGGGCCAGGGAAACACTGTATATATATATTATGTATATAACAGTCGAGGACGAGTAAGCCCGGCGCACATTCGCCGACAATTTGCTCAAAACATGTATCGTAGCATGTTCCATGAAATGTTCGGCAATGTGCGTGTGAAAAGTTGCGAACGTGTCCGAAACAATGTTTCTGAAGTCGGAAATGTTTGATATTCTCGAACATTTGTTCGTCGAATGTTCGTATGTGCGTGAATGTCGAACAATTAGGAACATTTGTAAGTGAACCAATAGCAGCACAATATGTGGTCACTTGCCGATTCACGTCACTCTTTACAACACGCTACTAGATGGCCGCCACAAGGTTGTTCGCTGCAAAATGTTTCGGGCATGTGCGTCAGCAATTGCTTCACCCGCACATTGCCAGACAAAAATTTGTTCGGACAATTTCAGTGTTAGAGCTTTAAAATAAAAACCACTCGCCAAACTGGGCGATGTGATCAATAGTTAACCGCCCAACGGAATTCTGTTCTCGCCGCAAATTTTTTTAAAAAACAACAAAATGCTTGTCCAAACAATAGTGAAAAACACAAAAAACACCATTGATTTAAACTACACATGTAATTCATTGATCATTTTCTCAAAATTCCAAGGCCACATCTCAGTTCTTTGGGGAAAATTCCTGTTTTCATTTCATTTAATTTTACTTTATATTCTCGGGCTGCTTTGCCCCATCAATGAACCACGTTTACGCGATTTTCTTGACTTGTTAACACCAAGCGCAACGGTGACTTAAACAATTCCTGGCATCACCCCGCTTCCGCGTACATTAAATCATATGCTGCCAGGCACGTAACACAGCCAGCTGTGCTGTGCGCTGCACGCTCTCGCGCTTCTCGGCGCCTTTGATTATATAAGTGAGGATGTCGTGGGATAGCCGCCCTCACCAATCGCCTATCAAACTGCTATTTCTCATCGCTTGGATATATACGTAAGGAAACCACATTTGATTTTAAAGTTTTCGACAATTAATTTTTACTCGCCACATGGGCCGAGTCAGCTGTTAGCTTTCACTTTCGCCGCGATATTATTTTCACTCGCTGGGCGAGCGGGCGAGTGCCAAGCTCGACGCTGCATTTGATTCGGGAAAATGTTCGGCAATGTGCGCCAGGCTTTTAGCCGGTTGAGGACGCCCAAGTCTCACCGACTCTCCAGGAGCGGTCCTCGCGGACCTCGAGTCGAGCTGTCCCTCCTTCCAGGCGGGTAAACTTGCCCAGAAGTGCGAGTTGATAGTTGGCGGTTGGGTTAAGTTGACCATTGCCCCCAATCTAAATTGACGTCTTCAACCGTTCTCTTGTAGCTACTTGGCCACTTAGCTCAACATGGGTAACCCTTTTCTCTGCCACTAGGTCAATTGAAATTATGTGAGCAGAGTGGGTGGACGAGGTGTTTGCAGCAGGCTGTTGAGTCTCACTAGTGGTGTGATGATTCAAATAAGAATCTGCTGGTTGTGTTGCACGTTGAGATATTGTGTTTGCATATTAGGGGCCCAGTTTGTCAACATTATGCAGGTCGGTTAGAGTTTCGCGAGTCTGTTGACTAAGCCCAACACGTTTATTTTATTAGTTAGTGCCTTTTTTATTGTACCAATGGCTACAATATAGCGAGACACGTTGCAAAGATACCCTATGGGGTTCCTGCATACTTAGTTGTATAATCCAGTGATAGAGTGAAGGACTGCATGATTAGAGCTACTTACCACCATGAAAAATACAATTCTCTTAAATTTCCCAAGCATCAATAACAAACAATTATATTAGATTTAGAATGGAGTAGATTTGATGGTTTTTTCGAATCTGGTCTGTCTGTCATTTCAATTTGTTTGCATCACTTTTTGCACCAATATTTTAACAGTCTTAGTTCATCATGGTAATTGATTGATGATTCACTGATAATTGATGAGTTTGTGTAACTGATGATCAATAATGAAGTTTTTACCATTACCCAATCTTTGTATGTATGTGTTCTTCCTTTACTCCCTTGGTTCCCCTATATTGAAGGAATATTTTAATTTATACCCCCGCAAACGAAGTTTGAAGGGGGTATACTATATAGGAGTCATCTTATATGGTCGGTCGGTCGGGCGGGCGGGCGGGCGGGCAGTCGGTCCGTTGCAAAATTTTGTGACACGAACTACTTCCACAGTTTTCAAGGGATTCCATTGAAACTTCATACACTTGATCACCATGAAGTCTAGATGTGCGTGACCATTTTTTGTGTACGCATCGGTCAAGGCGTTGCCATGGAAACTGTATATCATCTTTGATTATACCCCATGCCGTGGCAAAAAGTTTGTGGCATGAACTAAAGGAGTGTAGTCCCATTGTGTTCTGTGTGTTCTTTACTAATAATATATGCCACACCATGACCTTCCATTTTCCCTCCGACAAAGTGGTATTGCGGGGGTATTAATCACTATCAGTATCACTATCAGTGGTAGTTCTTCTAGTTTGCCTTGGCAGCCATCCAAGTTATCTTTCTCCTCTAAAATTTAATTATTACCCCTGAAACAATGCTTCGAAAGAAGTCATAAAAAATAATATTCTGACATGGATATCATATACTATTCATATTTTCCTATTAATTATTGCATGTGTATGTAAAGGAAGTGATTGCCTGATTCGATATAGATACTTTGGAAAATGCTATAGTTATAATAGCCCGGCTAGCTCAGTCGGTAGAGCACAGGACTCTTAATCCTGGGGTCGTGGGTTCGAGCCCCACGTTGGGCGAATGTTTTTATTTTAGTTTACACCCTGAGAATGGTGCCATAGTACCATAGAAATAGTATAGATAGACTATCTATTATTATATCTATCTATCTATCTATCTATCTATCTATCTATCTATGTATGTATATATTATTTCTATGCACTGATGCCCTACTGTAAGTGTTGTTGCAATAAGGCAATGTAAGTACAGTAATGCAATCTGTTAATATTTCCATAGGCACATATTTCTCAGAGAATGCTCTTCTCCCTGGCTTGGTGCAGTCTGAGTTTAACTTGGAAAGAGACTCAAACACTTACTATGAAGAACTGAGGAGCGTGTTTGCAAACACAAACAAGTATGTTGTCAATTATAAGTAATGCTGATAGGGTCTATGTCTCCCTGGGTACTGCCGTTTCGTACCCTGGTAACTATCTCTGATACTGATAGTGATATGGTTAGGGAGTAGGCGTAGGCGACTCCCTAGACTCGTTAGTGGAGTAGGCGAGGTACGGTCCGGAATATTAGATAGTACCAGGGTACGTTCCGGTATACCCAGGGAGACATAGACCCTGGCAGCTCAAGTAATACGTGACTTTTTAGCTCATCTGACATAGTCAGATGCAGCTTGTAGAATCGCATGATCGTCCGTCCGTGCGTCCGTCCGTGCGTCCGTGCGTCCGTCCGTCAACAGTTGGGCACAAATCTTAACCGCTCAACGTACGGTCGGGTAATCCGAAAACGAGTTGGGATGTCGAAGCTGGGGGTCAAAGGTCAAGCGGTGTAAAAGAAGGG